CGCCGCCTGGCCCGGCGGAAGCTGTCACGATCGAGTTCGCCGCCGGCACTGGCCCGGCGACCACCAACAGGTCACCAACATGCCGCAGACCATGCGGGTCTGGCCCGGCCTAAAGCTCATCGGGGCCGGCGGCCGCGTCACCAAGGGCATCTACGTGACCGAAGTGGGGCCCGAAAAAATCGTGTTGGATGGCGGCGAATCCTTCACCCACGCCGCCCTCCTGAAGCACACACCCGGCTGCGCCACGCCATCACCTATACGCCTCCTGCCAGGGCCTGACGCTCGAGGGGCGGGCTTCCTGCGCGACACCGAGAGCCCGCAGGCACCTCTACGTTGGCACCAGCCGGGCCACCAGCAGCGAGCTCCTGAGCGTGCTCTAGAAGGGGCAAACGGGACCGGCGGCCTCGTAGGTTTTGAGCTGCAGATCGGTCACCTCGAGCAGTAGGCCGCACTGGTTGGACATCACCCACACCTGGCGCAGCTCGCACCGCACCCTGCACTCCCTGCCGGCGAGGTCGCCGAGCTCCGCCAGCTCCTCCTGGTTGGGCCCCCAGATGCGGACTCGCCCCCAGTCCATCTTCAGCTTGAGGTACGAGCCGCCCCGCGGGCTCGTCTTCAGGCACGATTGGAAGCGGTCCTTCACGTCCGTCTCGGTCAGAAACTTGCCGAAGACCTTCGGCTCAGAAAGCCTCGTCGGGCTCCAGGCACAGACCCACGCGCTTGGCACTCGGGTCGTTGAAGGCGGCCGGGTGCCAGATGATCTTCTGCCACTCCGCCGACTGCCACACCGGCGGACCGCCGTTCCGGCGCAAGGGGACGTACTTGCCGCCCTTCGCATTGATCGTCAGATCGCCGAGCTGAATTGCCGATTCGCAGGTGGCTTGCTTTTGCGGCTCCATGCTGCTCCTTTATACATGTAACATAAAAAATGCCGTCGCCCGAACGAATCTGCGCGGCCGTCGCGCTGGCGGGCGTCTTTGTCGGCCTGTGGCTTTTGTCATCGCCACACGAAAATGCGTCGTCTGTTGGAGTTGTTCAGCGGCACCAAGTCGGTGGGCCGTGCCTTCGAGGCCCTTGGGTGGGAGGTAACGAGTCTTGACGCGGACGCCACGACTCGGCCCACCATCTGCGCCGACATTCAGGAGTGGGACTACAGGACCTACCCGCCCGAGCACTTCGATTTTGTCTCCAGGGCCCTGACCCGACGACCCCGACGGCTGGAGGACGGCGACCGGCTGGTCCTGAAGACCATCGAGATCATCGGGTACCTCCGACCTCGGTGGAGAACCCGCGAACGGGCCTGCTCAAAAGTCGGCCCTACATGCAGGCGCTGCCTTACGACGACGTGTCCTACTGCATGTACGGCTTTCAATACCAGAAGACCACCCGAATCTGGAACAACCTGCCTTGGGTTCCCAGCCAAGCTGCTCCAAGCGCGGCCGCTGCAAAGCCTTCCGGGACGGCCGGCACCCCGAAACCGCCCAGAGGCAGGGCAGCCGGCACTGGCCCGGCCAGACCCGGGACCAGCTGTACTCCCTGCCGCCCCGACATTGCCAGGAGATCGCGGAGAGCCTGTAAATGGGAAAGGTGAAGCTCTTCCCGACCGCCGAGTACACCTCAAAACAGCCTCGCGACCCGATCGTCCCCCGCGTGCCGTGCACGGGCATCTTCCTCGGGCCCTCACGGTGGCTCTGATCTCAGCCATCCTGGACCAGTACCGCACGGCCAGCGGTGAATCCGTTTTTGAAAGAGTGATTATCATGTCTCCGAGCATTGACATCGACGATGCCTGGAAGCCCGTCAAGCATTTCATCGAGCACGACATGGGCGTCAACACGGACCGGGAGCAGGTTTATTTCGACAAGTGGGACGAGGCGGCCCTGCGCACCATCATCCAGCAGCAGAAGAAGATCACCCGAACCACGAAGGAGCTGGGCTTCAAGAAGCTCTACCAGATCCTGATCGTGATCGACGACTTCGCGGACCAACCGGAGCTCCACCGCCGCACCGGCGACGGGGCCCTGGACACGCTCTTCATCCGCGGCCGCCACATGCAGATCTCGACCTGGGTCTCCTCCCAGAAGCTGCGGCTCATCAGCGCCGCCGTGCGGGTGAACATGCAGTTCATGTGCGTCTGGCGCCTCCGCAACCAGCTGGAGCTGGAAGCCGTCCTGGAGGAGCTCACGGCCCTGCTGCCGAAAAAGGAGCTGCAGGCCATCTACGAAGAAGCGACGAGGGAGCCCTACAGCTTCCTCTTCATCCACTACCTGAAGCCCCGAGCCGAAATGTTCTACAAGCGCTGGGAGGAACGCTTCGTGATCGAAAATGGGGACGATCCTGAGCCAAGTGGTGGGCAAACTGCTGGGGGGCAGCCCGCTGTGCGAGAGCGAGTGCCACAACATCAGGTGCTGCAGCAGCAGCGGCGTGTATGACCCGCGGCGGCTGCCCTACCCGGAGCGGGCGCGGCAGATCAGCAACGAGTCCGACGCCTCGACGGCGCGGAGCTTCTGGCGACGTAAGAAAAGGATGTCGACAACGATCTATGTCGATAGTCGCAAGAGAACCGCCGGGGACGACTCCAGCTTCGAATTTGACATCGGGGAGACCCTCCACCTGCAAACGGGAGCCAAGCTCTCCGTCTTCAAGTTCAGGGTGGCGGATGCCTTTCTCTCCACGCATCGGGGACAGTACTTGTACTGGATCGACGAAGCGCTGCAAACCCTCAACTGGGCGGTGCTCCCCATCGGGGCCTACACGGGGTCGCGACTGGCCGCCTGGATCAGCAGCAACTTCGCGAGCGCCACCTATGTGGAGCAGACGAATGAAATAGGCGTGGCCTACGACGGCAACCGCCGCATTTTGAACGACCAGCAGATCCGGAGCCTCTTCCCCGGCACCGGTTCTTATCCCGCCGGCGCCACGCCCAGCCGCCCGCTCTCCATCAACCACTTGCTAGGCCCCAGCTTCATCGATGGGGCGCTGCAGATCTTCACCTTTGTCACCATGAATCCCTACAGCGAGCTATTCCTGCGCTGCGCCACCTTGGCCACCGGGGCGGATATCAAGGGGCCTCTGGGCAATGATATCCTTTGCAAATGCATTATTAACGCTGGCCTTGGTTTTGTGATGTCCACCCGAACAGACGAGGGCCATTTCGTGAAACTCCACGGGCCCATTACCCTGCGCACCCTGCGGTTTAAATTGACAGATGTCGACGGCAACACGGTTAATACCCGCGGGACCAGCGTTTCTTTTGCGATTAATCAATATGTTTAATCTAGGAAATGGCCGAGAATGCGGAACCCCCCGTGGCTCTGGAGCCTCTGGCTGAGCCTGCGCCAGAGCCTGCGGCAGCTGCAGAGCAGCCTGCTCCGCAACCCATGCCAGAGCCGCCGATCCCCGCCGAGCCCCCAGCCGCCAAGCGCCGTGGCCGGCCGCCGGGCTCGAAGAACAAGCCGAGGCCGCCCAAGACAGTGCCCGTCGAAGAGGCCGTCCCAGCACCAGCTCCCGAGCGTGCTCCCACCGATCCTCCTGCAGCCGCCGAGGGCTCAGCCCGAGCCCCCGGCTGAGCCTGCCCCGCCAGTGGAGCCTGTGAGGATGACCCCAGCACAAGAGCGAGCCCTAAGGTACATGGCCCGCCAAGATCGGTACATGGAGCTGCTCGCACGAAACACTCACGAGCTATAAAGGAAGGATGATGCCCCTCGAGAGGCGCAACGAACCGCAGATGCTCCGGACCTTTCACAAGATGTATCCGAGCTACAACCTCAATCCCCTGCTGGGCGGCACCTTTCCGACCGCGGCCTCCGCCAAGAAGGCGAAAGCTATGCGGACGAGCTCGGCCGGATGACGGAGGCGGTCAACCGGCGGATCCCCCAGCTCCGCTACGCGCCGGCGGAGCGGCAGGGCGTTCACAGGATGGCGCGGGACGTGGCCGCTGGTAGAAACACCAACGACTCTCAGGTCTATGGCGGCCTCATGTAGAAAGCAAACGCAAGACCCTTGTAAATGGAGGAGCGTAGACGCAACGGCTTCCGAATCAAGCCCAGCTTCGGTCAGGTTCTGGGCTATTTTTTGTCACTTTGGTCGCAGCTGTCAAGCCTCGCGTCAGATTACGTGTCAGACCGCATTGCGGCCCGGCGCCTTTAAGGCACGCTGATGCGCTTGATCAGCACACATCCCTAAAACATCTACGTCACGAATGACCTTAGTGAACTAGTCACATCGAGTGCAAAGCAACACATAAAGCTCCGAATAATGTTGGTCACGAGGATGAAACAACTGCTCAGGAACTTGATTGTCATTGCAATGCCATAAACATTCACGATCAATCAGCAGAGTGGTATAATGTCCCCGAGTGGGCAGCGAGCCCCTGTGACACAAACATGCCACCGTTCGATATCGCTGGTACTGCACATCCACACCATGAGCATTAGTGAAAATCGGGATCCGCAGATCATCAAGAATATGTTTGATGCCCAGCTGTAATCGGCGTAGGCGGCCCGATGAATCATGTTTGAAACGCTGCACCTGTAGCATCAGCAAGGTGGGAGCAACGGAGAATGCATGAGTACGACCATCAGAGGCCTCCCATGAAGAAAGCATCGAATGTAAAGAAGTGCGAGTCCTGCTAGGATGAAGCACAACCGCATCCCCAGTGTCCAACACTCGCATGCCGAGATGATCCATGTCACGAGCCTGCCATGTGCCCAAAAGGCCAACAGCATCAACCTGAGCAAGAAAGTACATGGCAAATTCCATGACATCATGCTGTCTGTCCAGCTGTGGCCAAGAGTGTAGCAGAGCACAGAAATCTGGCTCCCGAGATAACGTAACCATGCGACCATTGCGGACCTGGGCACATACAGAATCAAAACCCAATTGCAAGGATGTAAGGAGCTCCGCGCCATGGTGAAAGCCCGTCGATACCCAGTATACCGACCTGATCCAAGCATTGATGTAACAGTGATTTCCTGAATTGTGCAGTCGCATGGCCTGTATCACATCCCGTCCAATAGCTGGAGGAGCTCCTTGATCAACGGGGATCGCTGCAGGTTCTCCCTGCGATACTGGACCCCGATCAGCTGCCACGCCGTGCAGCCTTGATAATCCAGGAGTCCCTGCCATACCATTGTGCCGTCCTGGTCCCGAATCGACAAATCCTGCATGAACACCGCCACTCCCGACTCGTAGTAGTCCAGCTTGCGCAGTGAGCAGAACCTGTGAACAATGGGATTCGTGTCCACCTTGACCATCATGTTGCGAATCAACGCCAGGATCGTCTCGTGTGCAACCGGTGCCTTGTTGGTGTCGCGAATAAGGGTTCTGGTCTCTCGACAAAATTTTTGATACGTCCACTTCTGATCTTCCGTGAGCCACCCTGCCTGCTGACATCGAATTGTTGTGGCCTTGTCCGCAATCGCCTCCTGCAGCTTGGTGGCCATGCGCTGTAGGATACCCAGAAATAGAATCTCCCTGAGTGGCCGACTTGACATCTCTAAGTGGTCCTTGTCCTTGGAATGCCATTTCTGAGCCGCTGCCCGTAAGAACGGAATGATCGAAGTTGTGTCCTTCGTCTCGTCGCCGACCTGGAGGAACCACACTAGCCCCGTGTCGAGCCGCATAGTTTGGATGCTGTCCTCGTGCCGCACTAGGATCCGAATGATTTGTTGGTAGATGCGCCTGGCTTTCTCCTCGCTCTGGTCCGCCGCATCCTGATCCGTCTTGCGCTGGACCTTTGTGTCTTTGCCTTTTCCTTGGCCTTTTCGGGACTGAGCACCTCGCTGAGTCTTCCCCGTCGATGTGGATCTGAAGTCCCCGTTGCGCTTGTTGTTGATCGCGTCCTCTTCGGACATGCGAACGTCCTCCTGGTTCCGATCCAACCCACCGAAGAACAGCTCGATCTCTCGACCCCGCTCCTCGCCCTCCGCAAACATTGGATATCACGGCACACTGGAAAAGCACTGTACACCCCTTGGAATGTTTGGCCGCTCCGTTGGCTCGGACCGCTCTGCAATAATGACATGGAAGAGAGAGAACAGCATGGTGTTTGCGAACAGCCTCAAAGTGATCTTGCAAAGACTGCCATTGTGCCTCGTGAGTATTGCGATAATGATTTTTCATCATATAGGTATGAGCAACCCATGTATGACACAAAGCGCATCTAGTTTCCATCTCTTTCATAAGCCCCGAGAGCTGTCGTAGGCCATCGAGACCACCCTGCATAAAGGCCGTCCTCACTGCATCACGTTCAACCATAGGTACCTCCGCTCGCACCGCAACTTGCTTCATATCTTCAAGGGTAGCCGGTGCAACCGCATCATGTTTGGCAAAGACAGAGCACCAACCTCGCACGATATGTTTGCGAAGGATATCCCAACGATTGAAGCGGGCTCCACAACCTGAGCACGTGGGCAGTCCATCCCTGGAATGGATTGAACGATCGAAAGCCAGCGTCGTTGGGCGCAACGGCTGAGGAGACAGCTGGATGGAAGCACTTTCTGTCCGAATTGCGGACGATGGCACACCAAGATCATTCACGGCGGGAACCAGCGACACAGTTTGCCGAAGTACGGGTGCAGAATCATGTGTCTGAGGATCGGGCTGAGTTGCAGAAGCATCGGGATTATCACCGGAATGGACCACAGCCTTTGCACTTGACACAGTCCTTGTATGTGACGTTGGCTCAGGTACACTGCCCGAGGACGACACTGCCCTATGTGTCTGATGCATGTGCAATTTCACAGATTTCCTGGAGTCAAAATAAACACCGCATACCGGACATGCATGAGGAACAATGTCACGAGAAACCGCGAGGATACGAGCTTCCGCCTCAGCAATAGAGGTGACGAGTTGACGATTCCATGCAGCAAAGATCTGCCACGAACCCGGCAACCAAGCGAAAACCTCCTTATCCCTAGCGTATGCCTCTTTCAGCCATGCAGTGGGTAACGTCATGTTGTTCTGAGCCAGCAGATCGGCATCGCTGATATGTGTGACATGCGAAGGACAAGAGCAGATGGCTCTGATGTGCTTCATGACAAGCGTCTGGACTTGTCGCAACAGAACAGTGCTCATAGGACAACAATCGATCGCATAAAGCAGCGTCGGCCTGATAGTAACCAGCCACATGCGCACACGTTGTGGAATGCTCAATCCCCGCTTGCTGGTGAAGAACTTCTGCAACTGCCAAAATCTGACATTTGCCTTCTGCAGCCGATGTGACACCGTTTGGGACTCGAACTGATCATACGAGATACGCGCGCCCAAGTAAACAGTACTGCGAACCAGAGGAATGAAGCGTTCACCATTGTCACCGGCAACAACAAGAACTTGGCGATCTTTATCTTTACGCGTGAATGCGGCACGCGCCTTCTGTTTGTGCAATCCCCGGACTGTGAAAATGGCCTGTGCTTTGTCATTGTTAAGTTGCATACCAAAGGCTTCAAGGGCATCCATGAGAACACCAAGTTGCCGCAGGCACGTACAAAGCTCCTCATAGCTGTGAAAAATCCAAGCAGCGTGTGTGTCATCGGCATATTGAGTCAAGTGAGCAGCACACCAACCTTGTCCGAGGATACCGTCCAGATGACAGCAGAGGAGTGTCATAAAGGCGAGGAAAATGGTGGGTGACGCTCTACATCCCTGCTTTACTCCACGCGAAACCTGTAGCGTGGTGGACTCCCCCGCCGTGCTATGGATGACATACTCAGACTGCTCAAGCCAGGTGAGCACAATAGAGGCAAGGTCAGCCGGGAGATTTGCATGTGAGAAAGCCTGGGCTATTCGCTGCCATGGGACCCTATCAAAGGCAGAACTTAGATCCAGGCAAATTTGCAATCCTCCACAAAGTTCGCCAGGCTTCCAGCCTTCAAAGCGCCGGTGTATAGTATCAATTTCTTGCTGGCAAAGTGTGCGCACCTTGCTGCAGTGTGCAAACACAGCCTGTAATGCCTGCCGGGTTGAACGCTTCGGCATGTATGCAAACAGAGGAAAAGGTTCGGCCCAGGCGTGAATGTACGGTTTAGCACGATCCATCAGCAAATGCATCATTGACTTAGCCACTGCATCCTGCAATCCGATAGGTCGCCAGTCTTTGACCTCCGAGGTACGTTTACCCGGCTTCGGAAGGAAGATAAGATCCGTGACACACCAAATGCGAGGTATGATTAGTCGATCACGACACCACATCCATCGGATCATGTCACACAGAGCAGGGGCAAGTTCCTCAGCGCACAAACGATACAGGATCCCCGGTGCAGACCCAGATGATACAGCTTTGCGCAGTGGAATCTGTCTAAGGTAAAAACTGATCTCTTCAGGGGTGACTTCAAAATCCTGTATCAAAACTCGCTGATTCCGATTTGTAGCGGCCTTGGAGCCCATGGCTGTGTTCCTGGGCTTACGCCCACATGATCCGGGAATGGACCGCCTGGTTCCACTTGGGCGAGCCGTGGGCGAGGTCGAGTTGCACGACCGGTCCTTGCCGCCAGGGCATGTGTACGTGGGGCGCGGGCACCATTCGCACAGGCTACCAGTTACCAAATGGTGCTCCCCGTACACTCCAGGACACGACTGCTCCCCTTCCGAGTGGATGCATCTCTTTGTCGAGCACATCATTTGCAATTTCTGGACATCTCTCCCCGACTTGCAGGGCGCGACCCTTGTCTGCGATTGCCCCTTGGGCTCCTTGTGTGAAAGGGACGTCCTGGCAGGTCTGGTGTGGTACCAATTGGCCTCGAGCCGGAGTGGAGGCAGCTGGCAGGGTCGGCCAGCCCCGGCAGGGAGTGCCGCGTGGGCCGCCTTCACCCAGATACCGGCCTCTGTCGCCCATGTTATTCCCTATTCCCCGCAGGAGTCTGTCATCACGGCTTTCCGCAGCCTGTTCCCTTCCTCGGCCTTCCGTGGCTTCGTCTTTCCTTTCATCGAGGACCTGGTGAACAGTCCTCCTTTCACTCTTTTCCCCCAGCTGCGGGAACAAGGGCTTCGCTGGGATGGCGCGTTGGGCCCTTCTCTTTCTGACCCCGCCTGCAGGTTGATGCAGCGCACAGCGGAGGGTCAGCAAGCGGGGGCGCTTTCAGGGAGGGCGGCGCTCCCCCCCCTCCTCCCCTTCGGCCTGTCCCCGGATGAGCACTTCCGGCAGGCTTTGGCTAGGGGGACGACCCCTTGCCTACAGAACACCCTCCGGTCTTGGACCAAGACCTCCACTTTGCGGCAGCGATGACTGGGCCGCCTTCGCGAGTTGAGGCGCGAGTGTGTCGGCCCGCTTCGGGAGTTGAAGCGCCGTTGGAGCCATGTGGGGGACCACCTGCGTAAGCTCCAGACCCCGGCAGTCCGGAAGGTCACGGCCCAGCGGGACCTGGGCTTGCTCAGTCTCTTTGTCGTTCTGTTGTCTTGGCCGGACACCACTCTCCCTTCACACCTTTTGTTCGGCATGCCCGCGGTCGGTACCTCTCTCCCCTGCGGAGTATTCCCACAGCAAGGCTTCGACACAATTCCTCTCCATCGTCTCTTCGAGAACGTGGAATCCCACAACAAAGCTGTCCAAGGATCTATTCGGCCAGGCCCACACGATGACTTTTTGCTGGAGCAATCTACCAAGGACTTCGAAGCGGGGTTTTGTTCGGCACCGTTGTCCTGGTCGGAGCTTCTTCGCCACACCAAGGGCAAACCGATTCGTTTGATACCGAGGTGCGTGATTTCTCAGGCTTCCGGGAAGCAGAGGGTGATCGACAACGCGGACCATGGAGGACAGAGCGAGTTAAGCTCTGACTCTAACAAGTTGGTGTTGTGCTCAGCCCTCCGCCCGGCCCAGCATGTTTCCTTGGCAATGCGATGCGCCAGCCCGGCGGTCGCCCGCCGCCTGCTGGAGGAAGACCAGTGGGAAGGCGGCGGCGAAGACTGGCCGGACGCCTATCGCCATTGCCCTATGGACGAGGACCAGTCCAGGGCCTGCGTGGTGGTATGGTACCACAAGGATTGGGCCCAGCCGGCGTGCCAGGTATATTCCGGTCTTCTCTTTGGGCTCCCTTTGGCAGTGACCAGCTTCAATCGGCTCAGCCGTTTCTCCGAGGCGGTGGGCCGTCGGCTCGTCTGTGTCTTGGTCTCTATGTATTTCGATGATGCGCACCTTACCGACCCGGCTTCTGCGAAGGGCTCAGCCCAGTTCGCCTTCTCCGAGGTCAACAAACTTTTGGGCTCCCCCTTCGCGGAGGCAAAGCGACAGCCGATGAGCACAGTCGGCGACTTTCTCGGGCTGGAGTGGGACTTCCGCGACGTGGGGCGTCACCACGTCGTTAGGTTCTGGGTCCGGTCCAGGCTCCAGGCCAAGGTCGAGGGCCTTTTGTTGCAGGCTGAGCAGGATAATTCCCTGCCGCCAGGCTTGGCGTCGAAGCTGTATGGTATGCTCAATTTCCTCGAACAGGGGGTGTATGGCCGTATTGGCACAGGGGGCATCGGCGCCCTCAAGGAACGCCAGTACGAGGCAGCTCTGGAGTTGACGCCAGCTATCCGCTCGTCATTCGAGGTTATCCGAGCCATCTTGGCACTGCGACCGCGTCGGTCCGTGGAGGTGCTACCCTCCCCCTGTGCCCGATTCGTCGCAGCTAGCGATGCCGCGGAGGACGAACCGCGCAAGGGCACGGGCGGTTTCCTGTTGCTCTGGCCGGGCAGCGAGCCCGGCCGCGAAGCCTTCGTGGCACAGGTCGATCGGCATACGTATGATGCCTTTCTCCCGGGGGAGGTTAAAATCGCGCAGCTCGAGCTCTCAATGGTCCTCTTCGCCCTTACAGCTCGGGCTTCTACCTTTCGTTCTCGTCGTGGCACATGGTATATTGACAACGTAGCCGCGCTTATGGCACTCATTCGAGGGCGTTCCGATTCTCCCGACCTCGAGCGGCTGGCACACCTCATTCATGTGGCCCTCTTCTCTCTTCAAGTTTGGGTATACTGGGAGTGGGTACCCAGTAAGTCCAACTGGTCCGACTCGATCAGTCGATTGGGTGCGTCGGACCCGTGGGCTGCTTCTCGCGGCTTCTGCCTTCACCACGCTCTTTTTCCTACCGAGGTGTGGTCTCTGCCTCTGGTGCCGGCCATGCTGGTGTTTCAGTTTCTGTAGAAGTGCTTTGGGATTAGTGCATTGGGATATCGAACCGTGTTGGTTCGGGGTGGGGCTTGCAACCCGGTGTCGACCCGGGTTTTGCTAGCCCCATTCATCCGGATGTTTTACCAAAGCATTTCCCGTAGTAACGGGTTCTACAGACTGGGACGGCACTGGCGATGTGAAAAGAGTTGTGTGTGCAGTAGCCTCTGTGATTCGATTTGCGGATGTATACCATGTGTAGAGTTTGGCAGGCTTGGGTGCACATGTATCATCTGCGATCGATATCATGCCTTTTGGTTCAAGCCTTGGCAGTTGAGCCAAAACGGCAGGATTTTGTTGCCCGCCCTCCCTCCCTTTTACTGAGACGATCCCCCGTGGGGCTATCCTCTCTCTTAGGGTGGGCAGCGAGAGTTTTCTCGACTGCATTCGGAGGGGATATCGAACCGTGTTGGTTCGGGGTGGGGCTTGCAACCCGGTGTCGACCCGGGTGTTGCTAGCCCCATTCATCCGGATGTTTTACCAAAGCATTTCCCGTAGTAACGGGTTCTACAGACTGGGACGGCACTGGCGATGTGAAAAGAGTTGTGTGTGCAGTAGCCTCTGTGATTCGATTTGCGGATGTTTCAACGTCATGAAATAGGTAAGTTAACACAAAGCCGAACAAATAAGGAGATAAGGGGCACCCCTGGCGAAGGCCTTTAGTCTGTGTACGTACGGTAGACTTTTGAGAAGAGTCTCTGACCAAGAAAGTAGGGTTATCGTAAAGAGCCATTACAACTTTACGTGTGTGATCTGGAACTCCCACATGAATCATAGCAGCCTCGATAGCGGTAAAGGTAACGGAGTCGAATGCTTTACTCCAGTCTATAAATAAAGCATGAAGAGGCGAGTTTTGTCTTTCATAAACCTCCAAGAGACGGCGAATAATGTGGATAGGCTGTGTGGTAGAGCGGTTCTTGCGAAACCCAAATTGCCTGTCCCTGATTCTGGGGTCCAAACCCTTTTCTAACTTCTGTTTGTAACATTGAGGCGAAGATCTTGTAAGATATGTTGGTAAGGGAGATGGGGCGATAGTTAGAAAGGAGCCGGGCGTCTTTCTGCGTGTTCTTTAATATCATGACTACCTCTGAGAAGAGCCATGAAGGGGGTACCTTCGCGTCCTGGTAGCATTGGTTATAATGGGAAAGGAGATAGAGTTTCAATATGTAGGGGGCGTGCTTGTAGATCTCCCCCGGAATATCGTTGGGGCCCGAGGCCTTATGGTTTTTGAGCCGTTTTAGAGCGGCGTCTAAGTCATGCATTGTAAAGGGAGAATCTATTTCCGTAGCCGGTGGATGTGGATCGTGCTGGAGAATAGGGGAATCTGCTGTAGTGTGCCACACCTGTTTGGAAAGATAATCGGCAAAAGTCGTGGCACGTTGGGAGGAGGAAACAAGCTTTCCTTGGAGGTTGAATAGGCCCGCAGCGCGTGGGCGAAATTCCGACCTAATCTGACGAGCATGGGTCCATTGTTGAATGGAGCTTCCGTAGAAATCATCCTGGAGATTCTGAGCAATGAAGAGCTTTTTATCTCTGCGAGCGGACTTCTTAATGGCTGTTCTGGCCGCTTTAAGAGCCGCAGTATCTGTGAATTTAGTTGCCTGAAAGACCTGGATGAGATGTAGAGTATGTGAGGAGATCCAGGGTTTCTTGGCAGAGAGCGGCAAGATAGGGATGAGAGAACTATATTCTTTGATCTTGGAGATGAGGAAATCATCCTGTTCCATGACAGCTAAGGAGTCCCAGCCTTGCGGATTAAAGCCAATTTCAGGGGGCTGGAGGGATTTGGAGGGAGTAGCGGCAAACCTGCCGAGTGAGCCGAAGGAGTGGACTCCACGTTTTGCCAGAGTGTCTGCTAACTCATTTCCCGGTATACCTTCATGAGAAGGTACCTTCATGAGATGCACCCTAAAGCGACAGCGGAGTGCCGTGTAATATTGCTGGGCCAGAATAACCAGCTGGTGGTGTGTGGTTGGGACAGAGGAGCCAAGAAGGAGAGAAAGAGCGTACTGCGAGTCCGTGTATATGGTAAGTCGGTCACCTAACTGGAAAGTGGAATGATAGATCAAATAATCAAAGAGTTCAATAAGAGCCTTAAGCTCTCCGGTGTTGTTGGAGCCCGGTAACTCTGGCAGATATTGAGTAGGGGTGGCGCGGACCTTACCCCAAGACTGTAGCCATGTGGAGTCCACCGGGGGGTGTGCGGGCAAATCCGATCCCGAGGTGAGAGCAAAACCCCACCCTGCCGGGTTATCGAACGAAACTGTGCGGTTATTGGGACAAGAGCCATCTGTGTAAGCAATGATTTGTGTAGAAGGGGATTGCGGGAAAATGAAAGCGTTATCGGTCTTATCCAAAAGAGAAGACTCCAACTGTGTATAGAAAGAAGAGAGTTGTGTGTAGTCCGGTTTTCTGAGGGTTTGTTTTGAGGGAGTGGGCTGGAATTGTGTTTTAAGGGAGAAAATGAGAGGGAGATGACGGGAGTTGATTATTTGCTGAAAATGCGCGCCCACAAATGTAAGAGTTTGTCGGAAGCCCTGAGGGGCAATGGCATAATCCAAGGTCGTCCAGTCGGCGATATCCTCCCCTTCAAGAAGGGGGTCCTTGCAAGTCATCTCCTTGTAAGAGACCTTTTGCCGAAAAGGCAGGTTTTGGTAGGTTTGGGGCAATTCTAAACCGTGGCTCTCAAGGAGATCAATTAAAAAGAGGGCGTTATCTCTATCTACATCAAGGATAGTTTGTCTTCGGCCTGCCACATGGGGCCCCACATGTGAATGAGATATGTCGATGTTAGGATCCAATCGGGCGTTGCAATCACCTAGCAAGAAGAGGTGGGAGGAGTTAGGATGATTAAGGAGTATATCTTCCAATTCTTCCCAAAATTGGGACTTACGTTCTCGGTCTAATGCGGGAGTTTCTACCGTACTGGGTGCGTATATACTGAAAATGGTGACAGGATGTGGTAGAGTATCCAACGTGATTTCGCAAATACGGGCGGAGTGTGGCTTAAAGTCTCTGACATGGGAGCGCAGGGAGGGTGATATGAAAAAGCCAACCCCATGATGGGGGTCTTTCGGGGTGCCGGAGTGCAGGATTTCCCAACCTAATTTCTGACATGTGTGAGCCGATGTTACCTTGGTTTCTTGAACGCATAAAGGAGAGATTTGGGATTGTTTACAAAAGTTCAAAAGTAAATCATATTTGGCTACTTCCTTGAGGCCTTCTACATTCCATGTACCTATTCTAATAGGGGTGCCGGTAGGGAGTGGCAACGATAAGGCTGAATCAGCGGAGCGAGTTTGATTATAGGACGAGATTGTAGAATTGCGCTGAACTAGTGATAGCCGTTTAACTAGTCGAGTTTGCGTAGTCGGCTTTAGGTGAATCGGGGGTGGACTGTTGTTGCCGTGCACCTTCAGGGCAACGTCCCGGTAATGCGATCTCCACTGTCGGTAATCCTGGCGCCGAGCGCGACGGCTCGTTTGCCAGTAATCGTATCTTCTCTCGACCGCTGCCTGCGATCGATATCCTCGATGAGATCCCCCGTGAGCTCCGCGGTGTTGGTAGCCGCTTGGCTTTAACGGCGCTCTAGATGCCGTTACTGGACCGCAAGCTGAATCATAACGTAAGTGTGGATAACGTAAGTGGTCGTCCGTCGTCATTTCGGGGCCAGAATAGGCCCCAGAATTCGAGTGCTGGTCATACCACGTGGAGCGTATTGCTGCCTTCCTAGGAACAGGTCCAAGCTGAGTCTTATACTGCCGTAAAAGAGGCCAGCGGCTTCCCGGCTCGCCTGTCTTGGAGGCCACCGCTCTCAGGACGTGCCCATATAGTGTTTTAGAATCGCTGCGCGGCGTCTCTAGTTCAAAGTAATATCCTCTTCCGGTGGCGTGTAGCCAAAGGGAATCTTTGCCATAAAAGGCATATCTAAAAACCGTCATACCGTTAGGCAAATGAAAGGAGTCTCTCCATAGAGAGCTGTGCGGCTTGGGCTTTGCCGCTGGATAGGTGATGTTGCCATTAAGGGCGTGCATTACCTTATTTAAGCCACCAGCAAAACCTGAAAAACTCACTCGTTCGGTGCTGAGCGGAGCTGTCGTAGGGTAAGACGTGGGGTGAAACGAGTGCAGAGGTCTCCTGAGCACTAAAAAACCCCAAAAAACCCTAGCACGGAGGCGTACACTCTGGAAAAGGTGAAACGCAAAAGCTACTGGTGAGAAGGCGCGTGCTGCCCTCACTGCTCTCACTGCCTTGGTAGCCCCCTCACTGTGTCCTAAGTTGCTACAACTACGGTCTAAGGTGAAACCGGTGCCCCTGTGGGCGTAACGTAAGTGATTGATAACGGAAGTTGTCGTCAGTCGTACCGTCGTCTGGTGCTTTCCCCGCACCGGGATAACGTAAGTCTTGGTAACGTAAGTGATCGTCGTCGATGGGGTTCTTAAGTTGGCTCCAAGAGGGGGTTCGGGATTTGGGTGTATGTTAAGGAGTCGAAGTCTATGCAGTAGCTGGCGCTTGTTGGGTATGATTGGAGCCGTGAGTGGGATCAGCGGAATGCACCTGGGCGGCAGAGATAGTCAGGGAGTTAGCCATTGGGCTTTCCAAGGGTAGGGTCCTTTCCGGTAGTGGAGTTGCATTACTAGCCATGCTTGGGTAACGATGAGTGCGTGATCACCGCGTTCCATCAGCAAGAGAGACAATGCTTCCATACTATTGCCTTTGTTATTCCAGTGCCTTTCTAACAAGTGAGATTTGTTGGAACCTATTTCCGACATATCTGGGGCTCTAGCGACTATGAGGTCGTACAAGGTGCCTAGAGGGTCATTGGGTGCAGGTAAATCGTGCTTCTTTGTTGTCTGTAATTTGTGGATAGCTCCTACTTGGTAGTATAGAGTATCAAAAAAGCAACTGCCTGCTCCAGCTAGCTTTTTAAGAGGTTCTGTGGTGTAGGGGGCGGAGCCTTGAAAGACAGCTTCAAG